AATCGGGTTGGAATGTCTTCTAGGGTCCCTTACGCATCTTTCTTGAAAGTTTGGAGCAATTTCATTTTTTGGCCAAAATTGAAAAATTTGCAAGGGGTTAGCCTTACTTTTTTCTTCAAATTTGGCTAAAAAATGACTTTTCTCCAGACGATGCAGAAATGACCATTGATGCAAGGAGAGTATCATAGAATATTCAGACTGCCATTTCTAAGATTTGTGCACAAATAATCGATTTATTGAGAAAAATAAATCATATTTTTCACTGATTTTGACCCAAATTCTCGACGCATTGTTCCTGTCTAAGGGCACATCTGTCCAGAAATCGAGTTGGAATGTCTTCTAGGGTCCCTTCGGCATCTTTCCTGTAAGTTTGGCGCAATTTCATTTTTTGGCCAAAATTGAAAAAATTGCCTTACTTTTTCATCAAATTTGGCCAAAAAATGACTTTTCTCCAGACGATGCAGATATGACTTTTGATGCAAGGAGAGTATCTTACAATATCCATACTGCCATTATTTCTAAGATTTGGGCACAAATAATCGATTTATTGAGAAAAATAAATCATATTTTTCAATTATTTTGACCCAAATTCTCGACGCATTGTTCCTGTCTAAGGGCACATCTGTCCAGCAATCGGGTTGGAATGTCTTCTAGGGTCCCTTACGCATCTTTCTTGAAAGTTTGGAGCAATTTCATTTTTTGGCCAAAATTGAAAAATTTGCAAGGGGTTAGCCTTACTTTTTTCTTCAAATTTGGCTAAAAAATGACTTTTCTCCAGACGATGCAGAAATGACCATTGATGCAAGGAGAGTATCATAGAATATTCAGACTGCCATTTCTAAGATTTGTGCACAAATAATCGATTTATTGAGAAAAATAAATCATATTTTTCACTGATTTTGACCCAAATTCTCGACGCATTGTTCCTGTCTAAGGGCACATCTGTCCAGAAATCGAGTTGGAATGTCTTCTAGGGTCCCTTCGGCATCTTTCCTGTAAGTTTGGCGCAATTTCATTTTTTGGCCAAAATTGAAAAAATTGCAAGGGGTTAGCCTTACTTTTTCATCAAATTTGGCCAAAAAATGACTTTTCTCCAGACGATGCAGATATGACTTTTGATGCAAGGAGAGTATCTTACAATATTCATACTGCCATTATTTCTAAGATTTGGGCACAAATAATCGATTTATTGAGAAAAATAAATCATATTTTTCAATTATTTTGACCCAAATTCTCGACGCATTGTTCCTGTCTAAGGGCACATCTGTCCAGCAATCGAGTTGGAATGTCTTCTAGGGTCCCTTACGCATCTTTCTTGAAAGTTTGGAGCAATTTCATTTTTTGGCCAAAATTGAAAAATTTGCAAGGGGTTAGCCTTACTTTTTTCTTCAAATTTGGCTAAAAAATGACTTTTCTCCAGACGATGCAGAAATGACCATTGATGCAAGGAGAGTATCATAGAATATTCAGACTGCCATTTCTAAGATTTGTGCACAAATAATCGATTTATTGAGAAAAAAATCCCATATTTTTCACTGATTTTGACCCAAATTCTCGACGCATTGTTCCTGTGTAAGGGCACATCTGTCCAGAAAACGAGTTGGAATGTCTTCTAAGGTCCCTTAGACATCTTTCATGGAAGTTTGGCGCAATTTCATTTTTTGGCCAAAATTGAAAAAATTGCAAGGGGTTAGCCTTACTTTTTCATCAAATTTGGCCAAAAAATGACTTTTCTCCAGACGATGCAGATATGACTTTTGATGCAAGGAGAGTATCTTACAATATTCATACTGCCATTATTTCTAAGATTTGGGCACAAATAATCGATTTATTGAGAAAAATAAATCATATTTTTCAATTATTTTGACCCAAATTCTCGACGCATTGTTCCTGTCTAAGGGCACATCTGTCCAGCAATCGAGTTGGAATGTCTTCTAGGGTCCCTTACGCATCTTTCTTGAAAGTTTGGAGCAATTTCATTTTTTGGCCAAAATTGAAAAATTTGCAAGGGGTTAGCCTTACTTTTTTCTTCAAATTTGGCTAAAAAATGACTTTTCTCCAGACGATGCAGATATGACTTTTGATGCAAGGAGAGTATCATAGAATATTCAGACTGCCATTATTTCTAAGATTTGGGCACAAATAATCGATTTATTGAGGAAAAAACCCATATTTTGCACTGATTTTGACCCAAATTCTCGACGCATTGTTCCTGTCTAAGGGCACATCTGTCCAGAAATCGAGTTGGAATGTCTTCTAGGGTCCCTTCGGCATCTTTCCTGTAAGTTTGGCGCAATTTCATTTTTTGGCCAAAATTGAAAAAATTGCAAGGGGTTAGCCTTCCTTTTTTCATCAAATTTGGCCAAAAAATGACTTTTCTCCAGACGATGCAGAAATGACTTTTGATGCAAGGAGAGTATCATAGAATATTCAGACTGCCATTATTTCTAAGATTTGGGCACAAATAATCGATTTATTGAGAAAAAACCCATATTTTGCACTGATTTTGACCCAAATTCTCGACGCATTGTTCCTGTCTAAGGGCACATCTGTCCAGCAATCGAGTTGGAATGTCTTCTGGGGTCCCTTCGGCATCTTTCCTGGAAGTTTGGCGCAATTTCTTTTTTTGGCCCAAATTGAAAAAATTGCAAGGGGTTAGCCTTACTTTTTTTCATCAAATTTGGCCAAAAAATGACTTTTCTCCAGACGATGCAGATATGACTTTTGACGCAAGGAGAGTATCATACAATTTTCATACTGCCATTATTTCTAAGATTTGGGCACAAATAATCGATTTATTGAGAAAATCATCTTTTTCACTGATTTTGACCCAAATTCTCGACGCATTGTTCCTGTGTAAGGGCACATCTGTCCAGAAAACGAGTTGGAATGTCTTCTGGGCTCCCTTAAGCATCTTTCCTGTAAGTTTGGCGCAATTTCATTTTTTGGCCAAAATTGAAAAAATTGCAAGGGGTTAGCCTTACTTTTTTTCATCAAATTTGACCAAAAAATGACTTTTCTCCAGACGATGCAGAAATGACTTTTGATGCAAGAAGAGTATCATAAAATATTCAGACTGCCATTATTTCTAAGATTTGGGCACAAATAATCGATTCATTGAGAAAAAAACCCATATTTTCCACTGATTTTGACCCAAATTCTCGACGCATTGTTCCTGTGTAAGGGCACATCTGTCCAGAAATCGAGTTGGAATGTCTTCTAGGGTGCCTTAGGCATCTTTCCTGGAAGTTTGGCGCAATTTTATTTTTTGGCCAAAATTGAAAAAATTGCAAGGGGTTAGCCTTACTTTTTTCATCAAATTTGGCCAAAAAATGACTTTTCTCCAGACGATGCAGAAATGACTTTTGATGCAAGGAGAGTATCATAGAATATTCAGACTGCCATTACTTCTAAGATTTGGGCACAAATAATCGATTTATTCAGAAAAAACCCCCATATTTTTCACTGATTGTGACCCAAATTCTCGACGCATTGTTCCTGTGTAAGGGCACATCTGTCCAGAAAACGAGTTGGAATGTCTTCTGGGGTCACTTAGGCATCTTTCCTGTAAGTTTGGCGCAATTTCATTTTTTGGCCAAAATTGAAAAAATTGCAAGGGGTTAGCCTTACTTTTTTCATCAAATTTGGCCAAAAAATGACTTTTCTCCAGACGATGCAGAAATGACTTTTGATGCAAGGAGAGTATCATAAAATATTCAGACTGCCATTATTTCTAAGATTTGGGCACAAATAATCGATTTATTGAGAAAAAAACCCATATTTTTCACTGATTTTGAACCAAATTCTCGACGCATTGTTCCTGTCTAAGGGCACATCTGTCCAGAAATCGAGTTGGAATGTCTTCTAGGGTCCCTAATGCATCTTTCCTGGAAGTTTGGCGCAATTTCATTTTTTGGCCAAAATTGAAAAAATTGCAAGGGGTTAGCCTTACTTTTTTCATCAAATTTGGCCAAAAAATGACTTTTCTCCAGACGATGCAGAAATGACCATTGATGCAAGGAGAGTATCATAGAATATTCATACTGCCATTATTTCTAAGCTTTGGGCACAAATAATCGATTTATTGAGAAAAAAAAATTAATCTTTTTCACTGATTTTGAATCAAATTCTCGACGCATTGTTCCTGTCTAAGGGCACATCTGTCCAAAAATCGAGTTAGAATGTCTTCTAGGGTATCTAAGGCATCTTTCCTGGAAGTTTGGTGCAATTTCATTTTTTGGCCAAAATTGAAAAAATTGCAAGGGGTTAGCCTTACTTTTTTCATCAAATTTGGCCAAAAAAATGACTTTTCTCCAGACGATGCAGAAATGACTTTTGGTGCAAGGAGAGTATCATACAATATTCAGACTGCCATTATTTCTATAGTATTTTGGCAGGCAGACTATTGCAGACTTCCAAAGGTGGCAAGGATCCACAACATGGACCTGTTGTTTCAACTTGTCTCTAGAAACCAATTTTTTAAAACGACAGGATTTTTCTCTAAATATATTGCTAGAATTACAATGCACTGGTATGAAGCTATTATTTAAAAAAAAATCTATTTTTTTTCTTTTACTTTAAACAAAGTATTCAATTTTACAAGTCACATTTCTGAACGTTGAATAAAGGTATACAAATATAAGACTTTTTAATATAAAGGATAACAATAAGTGAAGTCTGTTATGAACACGTAATTATTCAAAATCACTGATCCAAAAATGAAAAAATGTACTGCTCCATTTTAGTTACCTGTTTCTTAAAACGTTAGTGGTATTAATTGCAAGATTTCAAAGTTCAAATATCTTCACACACACAAAATAGTCGAAACACACACTTCAAACATTTGGAACATAACTGCAAAATATACTACATGAAAGCATTTATACAATCCTACATTCAACCTGGCCAAAAACGCTAAAAAAAAGACTAATCAAATCTACTCTTAAGACATTTAGGGCTGCGGCACAAATCTTAGAGTACGTTGCTTAAGAACACAATATCCACAAATCCATTCAAAGTATAATTAAGAACACTGGAAGGGTATTACATCTTGCCTCACACCATATACATATAGGCAACTACATCACATAAAACTGTTGTAACAAAGCATATCTTTCCCACACACAATTAACCTCAGTAACATTTTACAAGCAAAACATATAATTACTGAATGAGTACATCTTATGTTTGAAGGATAAAGTCATAAACCATCCGACCCAATTTTGTTTCACTTTAATGCAATCAATAGTTGGTCCATTTTCTTTATTTGGAAGACATTGTTCCTTTCGTTCCTAAATGTATTCAAGTTGATTACTCATCACTGAACAAAGGGACATATTGTGCTTGTTGCCCTGGCTACAGATCTGAATCATCACTATCTGTATCATACTTGTTGGCAACACGTTGGATGTCCCCACGCTGAATGTTAGGCGACGTGATGAGAGGATAGTCCTGGTGTGATTGGACGCCATGAACAGTAGCTTCCTGTGCCCTATCACTATCAGGATGTGTGGGCTCCTCATCTTTTGCTACAATCAGGAAATGACAGTAATCAAAACATTACTCCCCTATTAATGACTAATGTTGTCAAGCATGCAACAAACCAATCGAAGCGGCCTAACAGCAGATAATTGACAAGCCAGCCAGCAAGCCATCCAGCCCGTAGCTTTCAGGGGAGTCAGCCAGCCAGCAAGCCGATCAGCTTACAAACAGGCCGCCACTAGCCAGCCATGCACCTTCCGACCAGCCAGACGACATGCTAGCCAGCCAGTCAGCAAGCCAGCCAGCAAGCCAATCAACCAGCCAGCCAACTAAGAGCCAGCCAGCCAGCTTTCCAGCAAGCCAGAGATGTGCAGTCAGCAAGTCAACCAATCGGGGAGCCAGCCAATTAGCCAGCCCTGGGAGCCCAATGGTTAGCCAGCAAGCCAATCAACCAACAAATACCAACTATAGCCAGCCAAGCAACCAGCAAGCCAGATAGGAAACTTTAAGCTCTAATTGAGCACTACCAAATCCATCTCCAAACAACATTAAATCAATTAAATTGACACAGTGGGGCTCATCACTTGTAATGTCACTAATTCCCATGCAAACTCCTTTAGCCTTCAATGCCGAACAAACAACTGAACTTACATTTTGTCATCACTTTCTCAATTCCCATTCATTTAGGGATTCAGGTTGGCGAAGTGATAAAATACTCTCCTCACCTTCCAACTCTATGGCCCGGGTTCGATTCCTTCCTGGACCACATGTGTATTGAGATTTCAGTGGGTTTCCCCAGAATATTCTTCTGGGGTTTTCCTCCCACCTCTAAAAGTGTGATTTCTTCTCATTGTCTCCTCTCTAAAGCTTTCATCAGGCTTTTAAGAAATCCTCGGTTTCGTCACCAGAAAAAAAAATCATAAAACCCTCTCCCATCTTTAAATTTGCATTCGATATCGGTTTGCATTGTGTTGAAATTGCTATCTGTTAGATCCACAGGGACTTACCGTGCTGTACTGATGAGGCAAATAATCCAGCAGCTGCAGCAAAGTTGGGATTGTAATTGAAGTCATTAGATGGTGCTGATGTGTACATTGTGGGTGCTTGCATTCGGTTCTGACGCTCTTGTTGACTCAGTCTTGTCGGAATCTGCTCAGGCTATAAAGGAAAGTAACAAATAATGTCAATTTTCATATCTTCAAATCAGAGATACAATTTGTGTTGTAAACTGTAATTTGAGCACCAGGAAACCTGACAGGATTACAGATCATTAAGTCGTAAGATGAGCTCCAGGATTTAAGTTTATGCAAAGTTTATTATATCTCAAAGAACATGGAAGAACAATGCAAGATAAGTTAATGTCTGTAATTAACAGTCGTACTACAACAGGCTCAATCCCAAACCAAGCCCGATGCCAACTTCTTTGCACCTGACCTGGGGTGGCAGTGTACATGTAGACATAATACAGATTACTAACTTACCTGAGTCATTTGGGATGGTTTTTTGGCCAATCCCGCTACACGCATCAAGCTAGGATTGATGCCATCTCTATGTAACGCCTGCCCACAATCAGGACTGTCTACTGCATCCTCAGTCAACTGGCCCAGCTCTGGGGCTACACTGATCCCGGCTTGCTGGCGATTGGCTGGTCTTGAAGACGCCTGATTTTGAGTTGCGTTGGCTTTCGAAGAGGACCTTAGAATCCTGTCTGAGGGTGGCGCAGCATCTTTGGGCTTTCGAGCTGGCTCAGAAGCAGGTTTCATCTTCGGAGCTGATGTGCCTGCTGGCTGTCTGCCAAGCTCTTTCCTATCTGCAGGTGTGTCACGGCCAATGGGTATTGGCTGCTTGGTCAAAGTGCTTGGCTTGTCTGACACGGACAAAGAGGAGGAACCCATCATCCCATCCTCAGGATCACTGCTATCTTCAGAATTGCTGCCATCTTCAGAATCGCTACAATCCTCGGATTCGGGAGGTGGCTGCATCAATTAGAAGACCAAAACACTTCTTTAAATTGTGCTGTAATTACTTGTGGGGAAATGGAATGGCACACGTTCATGTTCGCACGAACTACATGTCCACTGATCAATAAATGGTGTCGATATCAACAGAATAACAAAATAATGATCTCATTTACTCTTAAAATTTTTATTCCTAATATAGCTACTATAAAGCATAATATGAACACCGTTCTCTTGTGAAATTTTCCTTCGCACTTTTGTGATGGTGAGATATACTACAGGCAAAAGGACTTTAGCAGAGAGCATCTAGGACTGGTTTGAATGAAATAACTCCACACAAAATCTGGCCCCTCAAATCAAAATTCAAAATAGTTATCATGTTTGAGATATAATCTCTGATGAATTAAGTCTTCAAAATATATTGCCTTTCATTAAAACAACTATTTGGGGGCTTCGAGCTCAAAATATTTGGAAGGTTGCTCATTAAACCTCCTCGAAAAAGCCCTGAATTCGGCTTTTGGTCAGCTTGCTATAATGAAGAGAAGAAGTCTCGCAGTACTCACATTTTCTTTATTGGATGATACTGTAGGCTCTTTGGGACGTGAGGTGGAAGCTTTCTCAGTAACCCTCCTGGAAGTAGGCTTTTCTTTTCCTGCAATTACAAAAGTGACAGAAATATTGGTTTGTATTATTCTCGACATTGCAAGGTGGCAATGTCAGGACAAGCAGTGTCGTTACAACAATTCAGCTGCTTAGAAATTAAACCTGTGATTCAAGATCAAGTCAAGGTCAAGTCTGGGATGACAGTTCTTGAATGAAGTCTGTAAAATTTGCCACTAACGAATTACGATCAATGAGAAAGCATGAGATATGAAATAACATATGTAGGCACGGCACATCTCAACGACAGATTTTATTACTGTATATGCCTTGTGAATTCGGCTTTAATTTGATCGGTTTTTGGTTACCAGAAGTACACCAACAAAAGTAGTCTGAAAGATTGATGTATCAGGCAGGCCTACCTTTGGTTTTCTCCACAGCTGCCTTTACTGCCTCGGTGATATTCTCCTTAGTTAATACTCCCAGGGACATATCATCATCACTCTCTGTGAACGACAAAGCCAAGGGTTCGCCGGGCGCATCTTTAAGGACGAGACCCTCGAGATGCTTCACGAGAGTCGGGTGAAGCCAGAGAAGCTCGGTATCCGTGGACCTCTGGACAAAAAGCCTTGTGGATTTAAGGGACGAACGGGCGTTGTTGAGTGTGGCAGATACTTCGTTCTGGTTCTCCTTCAAAGCTTTCAGTTCTTTCTGGCTTTCCAAACGAATCTCTTTGAGCAGGCGTTTCTCTTCCTCCGCCAAGCTCTCCCTGATTTTGTTGGCCACCGCCTGCACCTTTGCCTTGGCCATATCGCTGCGTTTTTTCAGTGCCGGGCCCATTTCCTCAAGAACATGGAGAGAGGTTTCCAAGTCCGGCACTTTATTCTCCAGGCGAGACAGTAGGGCGTCGGCGGCATGCCTTTCCAAGGGGGCCGCGGCGGCCAAGCTGGTGTACTCGTGGGGCTCGCTGGAGGAGCGATCCAACACGGTGCAGTCACGGCAGATCAGCTTCCGGCAGGTCAAGCAGTAGAACCGGCATCTTTCCCCGGTGTGGTCGGGGCAATCCGGGGCGTCGAACCGGCCGGTCACACCGCCTGCTTTACCGGCCCGGCACTCCTCCAGAGTGTATACACCGTGCCCGCTCGTTGCTGGCAGTTGGCCGTGGTACGCCCGACAAACGACGCAGAGAAATACGGCGCACTCGGAGCACCGGCATGCTGCCTCGCGCTTCTTGCACACGTTGCAAGAAATCTCGGCGGCAGCAGACTTGCTCCTCGTCACGATCTCGGAAACGGCGGCATCCTCCACCAGTCGAGCCAGGAAAATGTTCGCCTTTGCACCGCAAACTCCGACCGGCGTTATCTGTCGGCAATCTGGACAGCGGATGTTATCCGTCCTTTGTTTGTTGGACTTTTGCATGTCTTGGAGACATTTCTCGCAGTAGCTATGCAGGCAATCCAGTATCTTGGGCCGCTTGAATGTCTTGTTGCACAGAAAGCACAACAGAGGATTGCTCTTCTGCTTTTCCATCGCGTGACAAAATCTAAAATGCAAGAGATAAAAACCGCAAGCGACAAATTTAAAGAGTGAGAACTTTAAAACGGTGGTTGTGTTCAAAATTCCGTAACTTGAAAATTACATGAGTGATTTGAATGGTTCTTGTACTAAAAGAAAGCTTATGAATTGAGCGTTCATATCCTACATTTTGAAAGTGCTGCATGGAGAACTTCACTTCAACAATAGTCCCGACATTATTTTGGGTGTCGTGTTTTTTTTTTACTCACCCTGTATAGCCCATTCACCTGTGCTACGGGGTAAAGAAAGCACCACCAAACTCACAAAATGACTGCGAGTAGATGACAACGCAGTCATTTTGCAATAGTTTCAGAATTCCTTCAGCTGAGAAATATCCACCCCTTGCATTGTTTGATATTTGCTAAAAAAAGGTACAAAAAGGTCAAAAGGCTGGCCCTCTGGGACCAGCCAAAAGTGATCTTACCTTCTCGGTTTACCGCTCTCCGGCAGAGTGTGAGCTCTCGAGTAGGCCTTCAAATGTCCTACCCGCCACTACAGTCTTGTATAAACTCCGGCTTGTCAACTTTAAACATGTCCAACAGTTGGCTGGCACATAATGACTTATCGTAATTCCTGTTAATTTCAACTTCCGTGTATCACAGAGCATAAATGCTAGTTTCTAAAGGCCTTGCAATAGTTTCGGAATTCCCTGAGATGAGAAATATCCACCCCCTCACATTATATACCCATTTTGATATTTGCTAAAATTAACCTCTCTGCCCTTTTACAGATTACCGCGTCACATCTTTCCCATGTTGTTTTGGCGATTTCGTGCTTTGGGATTTTCCCTTCAGCACGCATTTGGGCGTAATACATGTAGTACCAGCAGCTGTAGTATTGTTTAAGTTCTCGCACACATAGTGTGAGAAATAGTTTCCCCCGACACGCAATACTCATAATTATATGCATACATTGTTACAAGTCACGTACGCCACTATGCAGCCACATACACACGATTGGTAACATGACATCATTATTTTGTGTGCACTACAAGAATCGTCTGGTCGCTTGACTGATGCCTTTAAAATATCTTGTGTGGCCGTTTTGACAAATGATCTCGAAGCGCTTGACAATTAATAACCCTGTTCATCAGGTATGATACCATTTTTCTTTTGCAGCAGCTCCAGATCAGCGCAATCTGGTCTCGATCTTTGCAGGATATTCATTTACACCTGGGTGGAGAGAGGTTGTATAGTGAGCACATTACCCAAGAACACAATTACGCATGTTCCCCGTCAGGACTCTAGCCCACGCATGCATCACAGCAATGCTGTCGAACACCTAAGACCATAATGAGTGATCATAGACTGTTATTTTAATTAAAAGCAGACGAGTCAATACTATAATATAATCTTTCCCTTCCAAAATCTTTTATTCAAATCTTCCATTCAAATACACTCTTAAAGCATATATACATTTTGCATTATCATAATGTAACATTTTAACTGTGGTTGGAACAAATCTTACTTTGATTAATTTGTAATATTTGCTTCACAAGACGCATAAGGCAGAAGGGAGTTGGGTGGTCCTGATAATTAAAACAAGGGTCAAACATTATAATATCACACTTTTGATGAAAATAGAAAATCAAAGAACACAAAGCGCTCGTCCCCAGCCAGGGCTGTGTCAAACATAACAAATATATTCAATCGTCCAGCGAATAGCCGAATACCATTTATTTCTACCAAATACAATTATTCGAAAAATTCAAGCCGTTGTCACATGCAATTCGGACTCCAATGAAATCTGGTCTTTTACCTTATGTGGACTCTTACCCTCACACGCATGGGCGTCGCCAGGATTTTTTCTAGAGGGGGGCCAAATTTTTTTTTGCCAAAAAATGCTTGTATTTCTCAACACATTCTCGATTTATCAGTTTTACAGGGGGGCAGGGACATTTTGCCCCCCCCCCAACTCATTAAATTTACATCACTTTGTCTTCGCACCTCTTTTTTAAACAAATTTTTAAAATACTTTTCCAGGGGGGGGGGGCAAGTGCCACCCTTGCGGCGCCCATGCTCACACGTGACCTGTTATCCTACTTTTAAACCATTGCTATGACGTCACACTATTGTTAAAAGTGAAGATTCGGAACTACGCATCTGTTACACTGATCACAAAGTGTGGATTCGGAACGAAGAATCTTTAGTAAAGTGTGGATTCGGAATTACGAATCCACACTTTGAACACGTCGGACAATTGTTCTTCATAATGAGCATTAATAGGACCGTATGCGTGAACATTTCCTTCCGAAATTACCAATGCATCTTCACTGTCAGATTCTCCGCCGTCACTGCGAAACCTACTTCGAGTCAGAAAGAAATCATCGTCTGAACTATCCATATTATGTCGACGCGACGGAAGGAGCCGGGGAAAATGTTGCAACCTGACGCCACTTTTTTTCTTCATATATCATCTCAATGAAGGTCATTCATTGCAAAAATGATAAGACATGAATCTGGGACTGAGAAATATTTCCAATTTTGTTAGAATATACTTTAAAAAAAATCTTGACTCTCCATAGACTTTGTAAACAATCGCGGAAGTGGCGTCAGGTTGCAACATTTTTCCCAAGTCTTTTCATCTCCACTCACTGTTAATGCCAATACTTCTTTTTGGCGCAATGGTTTAAGTCGAAGAATACACTCGCAAGTGTGGATTCTGAATTTACGAATTCGCGCCTCGTGAATTCTTAAATTACGAATCCACACTTTCTCGTGTATTCTCATTAACTTCTTCACTGATGAGGCATGCACAATACAACAGATAACTAGACTCAGTACTTCATAGAGTCTACATTTCATATGACACCGTCTTGAGAAGATGCCGAAAAACGTCCGGGATGTAATTTTATTCGTGTGATTTGTGTGTGTGTCAAAACGCCACATATTGTGGACAGCCACTTTTCACGCAATATATGAGAGTTGTGATTAGTCTATAAATTGCATCTTTAAATTCTGTCAAATACCACCTAGTCATCTATCTTGAAAAAAAAATACATCGATACATACATGGTATTTATAAAACAAAGTTTTTACCTCAATAGCAATGCCGGAAAAAATCGACCAAATCCAAACTCCAATGTTCGAATATCAAATTAGTCGAAAATGAACTAGCTGCCAATCCCAAGATGACTTAATATCAGAACCAGCTTCACATGTATTTTTTTGCTGGATCTGACCTATTTTCATAAGTGACTGAGTCTCTGACTGCGGGACTGATGAGTGAGTTACGAGTACGACTATATTGTTCTAAAATGAGACTTTCAGACCAGGCAATAGGTAATTGAAAAGTATCATAAGTATGCCTAGCAAAATTGTACTGCTGAACATGATACATGTGGACAATATTGTCTACTGTGAATGTTATTATGTACCATCTGCTCAAGTTTCACAAAATGAAACTACGAGATCGAATTGATCAACCCTACAAAGATGGGAAATTGACACAAAGCAAAAGTAAATACAAGGCAAAGCTTGAAGCCCACAAATTCACTATGAACATCTTCATCCATTAAATTCGTTAAAGAGCCATTTCCCCTTGAAATTACAGTTAACATTATTTTCACGGATTTTTCAACATATTAATACAGATTAGGAGTCCATGAAAACACCCTTAAGAAAGTCCTTTGTTTACACATGGAGATAGACTCAGTGTACCGTTATGTATAACCCATGATAATCCTCAGTGGCCAAGGTCATTAAAAACCGTGAAAATACTCTTACAGGATTAGTCCTATATAAGCCCAATGTAAATGTCCGTGAAACATCTCTTAAAGATTCTTTTTCACGGAGAATTGGACTTTTAATGAAATTTGTATGAAAGGTTGAATCAAGGGGGAGAGCAGAGGGCTAAACCTTGTCAACTGATGATGATAATGTTAAAGGAGTTTGGGAAATAAAATATAAAATAATATATAAAATATTGATAAATAAACTATAAAGTATTGAGAGTGTAATGTTCAAAATTTCTTTAATTGTTGGCCCCGGAAATGGGTGTGACATTAAATTAGTCTTGGGCGTGCAATTCTAAAACCACACGAGAATTGAGTACACACTATTCTTAAACAAATAAGATTTAATGACTTGGAAAAATTCCAGACGAACAGATACATTTAAAATAAAATGTGCAAGTTCATCCTCAACGGTTAGTCAAAACATCTGCGTGTTGTTATATGTTGAAGAACTTAGCACATTGATTTTGATTTTATAACTACTTGCATGTAAATCTGTTACAGTTATGTCAATATAAAGCTTTATTTCAATCAATTTAACAAACATGTTTTAATGAGATTATAATCTATCCATTTAGACAAGCTCACATACCCAAGGACATGGGCGTCGCCAGGATTTTTTCTAGAAGGGGCAAAACATTTTTTTGCCAAAAAATGCTTGTATTTCTCAACACATTCTCGATTTATCAGTTTTAGAGGGGGGCAGGGACATTTTGCCCCCCCCCCCTCCCCAACTCATTAAATTTACACCACTTTGTCTTTGCGCCTCTTTTTCTTTTTTCTTTTTTTTCTTTCCTTTTTTTCTTTTTTTCGCTTTTCCAGGGGGGGGGGGGGGGGGGGCAAGTGTCCCCCCTTTCCCCCCCCCCCCCCTCACGACGCCCATGCCCAAGGATGTGGTACTGCATGCAGGGCCCCAAAGGAAACCAGTTTTAAACTGTTTGAGGACACCCTGGGGGAAGAAATGTAATAATTATCGATTTCTGGGTACTTATAATCAAAATAGCTTATTTACAAAATTTAATTATATGCCAAGACCTCAGTAGTTGAAGTTAAAAAATATAGAGCGATCAAATGCGGAGCAAGAACAACTCTATAGTGTCTTGTCTAGATGCATGTGATATTTTATTGAGTGGACTAATTGAGTGTTCTAAGTTGGTTTTGAGCGTTTCTTTTCAATGTCTTTTCGTCAAGCGGTAAAAACAAACATGAAACAGCCATCAAAATTGGTAGTTTTGATGTGTCTTACTTAAGATGGATTTAGTGAAATTGGTCTTGGGACACGTCTTTAGCTAGGATCAATCTTAGGGTGGGGACTCATCTTAAGTCCTAGCAAAATAAGACGTGTTTCATGAAATCGACCCCTAACTGTTGATTATGGAAGACAAAATTCAAATCCATTCTTGAAGCCAGACTAATACTAACTCTGTTGTGTTTGTTTTCTCAATACCGCCTGGCACTCTTCAAAGACGGCCTTGAAACGCTGGGTGGTTCCGGCCAGTTTGAACCGGACGGCTAGCTGCTCCATCTGTGGGTCACCGTCCGCCGCGTCCATGGCCTGCCACACCAGGGAGTTCTCTGACCCTGCGTTAGGTGCCAGACTCATTTCCTTGGTGATGTAGTGGTTAGCACAAACCTAAGGAAGCACACCACAAATGAAAACTTGAAATTTTTGGAATCAGTTTAAAATGATTATCTTTGGATTTTGTTCCCATAATGCAAGTAATGCAGCTTGTCCCTGACAAGTATGGTTTAGCAATTGGTAGGGGTATACTAGAGGAATCAAAATTCAAAGCTAACTAGCTTTAATATAGTGCGGTACGTGGGGACTTCTGCCAAAAGTTTGTAACAAGATTGGATAATCTTCTTGAAAGCACCCACTTTGGCCTCCATTGACAGATGGGCCTCACTTTCAAGATGCTCAAAAGGTAAAATTTGGTACATCCTTTTCAGCTCAACTCATACGGAAAGATTGAAAATTAAAAAAATGGATAGTTGACGTACGTCTTAGAATGAAAGCATCTATAGTCAATGGAAAATGATTAAATGAAGTGTGAGAATTATCTGGTTAGTGAAAAGTTTGACACTTAATTAAACAGTAAGGAGGGACTACACCAAAAGATCAGCAGTTGCAGAGATTCAGAATCACAAGAGTCTAGCAAATAGAAATTTCTACAATTTAAATGATTAAATAAAACATGCTCCACAGTGAGTCTCTCCTTATACTATTTGATACAGTGATGCTCTGGACTGTAAATCGGAAACGGTTGTTGTAAGATATTTAGACTCACCCTGAAGACCTGGTCCCTCCTCATGATGATCCTGTACTTTTTCCTCTGGGTGTTATGGAGAATCTTGATGTCTCCGATACCGCGGTCCTTCCACCGAGTTGTGGCCTTGTCATAGCGGTACAGCTTGGCCCTTGAGCAGAAGAGCTGGCTCTCATCTTCCTCTCCGGTAACTTTCTCCACCTACGGTAATTTAAAAGACCCTGAACTTGAAAGACAAACAGGTTCTGCACAAAAACTGTTTGCAGTAAAAGCAAAAAAGGCTGGTCGGGCTAAAGCCTTTGAAAAGCCTGGGCTGGCCTTGGAAAAACCCTCAGGCTTCTCTCATTAGTGAACAATATACTCCCACTAAAGGCCACTTTCAGCCAGCAATTCCTGTTGAACACTCAATTGTTTGACTTCTCAGTCAACCTCTGACTGAATTCTTTAATTACTGACTCTGACCTAGAGTAACAAAAAGAAGGTAGGTTTATAAAAGTCCATTAAACACCTTAAACTGAAATACACAATCAGTAAATAAGCATTTCGATTCACTCTATGCAAACAAATCATGCTTATGCGCTTCTAATTTTTTCCCCACTCTTGGCTGGTTGTGTTGCAACTCTCCAGTTAGCCAAAGAGATAAGATTCCATTGATTTAACACATTCTGTGGTTCAAAATATCACATCCCACCTGCTCTGGTAGATGGGCCACCGGTTCAAAGTGGATGTTGTCTCTCTCCTCTGAGACACTGTCAACTTTGCTACTTGCTGCTGTTGCATCCTCTTCCTTGCTAATGGAATCTGTTGTAGAAGTGGGCGCCGCCTCTTCTACTTTTGGCTTCTGGGCGTTGCTGGCATTGGCGCTGCGCAGGAGCTCCGAGAAGGCCTTGGAGATGTTTGGATCACAGGATTTGACAATGGGCAGGTCAGAATCTCCTGCTCAGATAATCCAAACAGAAAGATAATATGACAACTGCGCTTACAAGTTAAAGGTTCTATATAATAATAATAATAATAATAATAATTTGGGAGGCTAATCATCCTTACTGGCAGCTGGGATGCTGAATTGCAAAGGACGTGGTCAGGCCACTGGCACGTAAAGGCGCCTATGGCTGCCGGCCTCATCGACCCATATATGACCACGGAGCACAGCCCGAGATCGAAAGTGTTTGATTTTTCCGGAGGGAGGAAAACCGGAGGGCCCGGAGAAAAACCCTCGTGGCACAGGAGAGAACCAACGCACAACTCTACTCACATGTGATCCGCGGCCAGGATTCGAACCGTGGTCACCTTGGTGAGAGGCGAGCGCTTTACGCACAAGCCACCCATGCCACTATATGGACACCATTTGCAACAAAATGGTATTTGTCGATTTCAGGAACAGCAATACAATAAATTTGAAGCAGGCTATTATAAACACTAACCTGTCAAAGTTCAGCTCAGTAGATTATTGTTCGAGAAAACTTTCAAAATGCATCTTCATTTTTCTTGAAGCAATTAAAGTGTAGGTTTAATACCTTTCTAGTTAATGATGGTACTTCCCTCTTTTCTTAAAAATGACATTAACTTCTTCTGTCATTGTCAAGGAAAGAGGAAATTACCTTCATTTTACTTGCAATGGTGCAAAGATTTTGCAGGATGCATAATCCTGTTGTTTACAGTGCTTACAATCGAGTAGGATAAATCACAATATTTTGACAGTGTTATTTTACAATTTTTTGCGGAGGCTGGATCGAGTAAAAGAGGAAGTCAAGTAATTATTTATCCAGTTCTCAGGTGACGTCCACTGATTACAATAATATAATGAACAGGTCGCGGAATGGCTGATATATTTGACTGATTTCAAAGCAAACAAGCTCATAAGCCTATTCCTCTTGGAAGCTCTTAAATCATGCAGGCTAAAGTATTGCATTTGACAAACAATAACACCAAGCAATCCATTCAATTAAAATAACAATGTGGACATTTTCCATCCTCTCCTCGAGGTCACTCGACATTTTCAAATATTTGCACCAAAAAAAATGCTATGCAGACATCTGGTCGCCCGAACAAATATGGTATACACCGCACAGCCCCAAAGTGCAGGACCAGTAATAATAAGTTTAAAGCCTGTCCACTTATGATCAGGGAAAGCACAACCCGATACCTTAAGGCGTTGTCCTTACCTTCAGTTGATATCTCTTGCACTTCTTTGTCATCTTTGTCTTCATTTTGTTCACCTTTGTCTTTGACTTGTTCATCTTTGTCTTTGACTTGTTCATCTTTGTCTTCGACTTGTTCATCTTTGTCTTCGACTTGTTCATCTTTGTCTTCGACTTGTTCATCTTTGTCTTCGACTTGTTCATCTTTGTCTTCGGCGTGTTCATCTTTATCTTTGATTTGTTCATTTTTGTCTTCAACTTGTTCATCTTTGTCTTTGACTTGTTCATCTTTGTCTTCATCATCATCATCATCAACGCCATCCACATCATCAACGTCTTCATTATCCTCATCATTATCATCATTGCCAACATCCCCCTCAGCCTCCTGTTCATCTTGCATATTCGATACACCACTGTCATCTTGATCCTCTTCGCCATCGACTTCCTTTGTGGCATGACCACCAGCCTCCTCTTTGATGTTTTCGTTCTGCTTGCAATTTCTTCCTGCTTCCTCTTTTGTCTGTTCTTTCCCCTCTTTCTTAATGTCCTCCTTGGCTGCATCTACTGCCTTCTTGAACTCACGAGTTGTCTCTTCTTCTCTGAACCTCACGGCAAGCTGTTCCATTTGGACCTCATCCTCGGAGGCATCCATAGCCATCCAGACCCAGGATTTTGTTGAACCAGCGTAACACTGGAGATTGAGTTCAGGTGTGACATAGTGGTTGGCGCACACCTTCAAGACCTGTTCCCGACGCATGACAATGCGGTATTTCAGGTTGGCAGGATTGAATAGGAGCTTAATGTTCCCAAGTCCGCGCTCTTTCCACTGAGAGGAGTCTTTGTCAAAGCGGTAGAGCTTTGCTTGGTGGCTGAATTTAACTGTCTCATTCTCTTCCCCTGTCTTAAGGTCAGTGCATTCAGGCAGCTCAACAATAGGCTCAAAATAGATGTGATTGCCTGGCGAACTGACAATATCAGGGGACCTAAGCTTGATGGGTGACTTCTCAGAATTATTCACCTCAGGCGATTTAGTGATATCCAGATGAAAGGCGAACGTCGAGCCCTTGGACTTGGCCATGTCTGCAAAAGAGAAGCCCATGAGTGTTTCCTCTTTGGTAGTGGTTTGTGTGGATGTAGCTGGCTTGGCCTCATAGACAAACCCCGCTGATGGTTTGACTGGAGTTACATGAACTGCTGCGGAAGCAGAGGCCAGGACAATATTATGAACAACACCAGCTTTGCAATCATTATCTACATTTTTGGAATCATCATTGTTAACATCAGCTTCCTGTTCAACAAAAGCCTTCATTTCAGCATTGTTGCCTTGATCTTCTTCTCCTTCCTCTTCATTTGTGGCTTGACCCCCATCATCTATTTCTAAGTTGTTTTCCTTCTCTTTGTCAATTTCCAGTTCTTTCTCCTCTGTGGTTTGTTCTTTCCCTTCTTTCTTAATATCCTGCTTGGCTGCATCTACTGCCTTCTTGAACTCTAGAGCTGTCTCCTCTGTTTTGAACCTCACAGCTAGCTGTTCCATTTGGACCTGTTCCTCTGAAGCATCCATTGCCATCCAGACCCAGGATTTTGTTGAGCCGGCGTTGGACTGGAGATCGAGTTCAGATGTGACATAGTGGTTGGCGCACACTGTCAAGACCTGTTCCCGACGCATGACAATGCGGTATTTCCGATTGGCAGGACTGTATAGGAGCTTAATGTCCCCAAGTCCGCGCTCTTTCCACTGGGAGGTGTCTTTGTCAAAGCGGTAGAGCTTGGCCCGGTGGCTGAATTTGGCCATCTCATCCTCTTCGCCTGTCTTCACTTCAACGTTTTCTGGTAGCTCAAGGACGGGCTCAAAATGGACGTGATCACCTTTGTCATCTGTGTAGTACTCATTGTCATCGGAACTAACGTCTGGGGTTTTGCTGACATCCAGTCGGAAGGAGAAGGATGAACCCTTGGACTTGGCAATGTCTGCAAAAGAGAAGCCTCGGGGTGCTTCCTCTTTTGGTTTGGTGGTTGGGGTTGGGGTGGGCGTGGCTGGTTTGGATCCAAAGATAAACCCCACTGATGGTTTGACTGGAGTTACCTGAACTGCCAGAGAAGCAGAAGCCACAGTACAAGTGTCAGCGGCTCTGCCGGCTTTTGGAAGGGTCGATCCGTTGGCACTGAATGTGATACCCGTGCTGGGGTTCTGCACTGCTGCCATCGGCGATGCGGCCTCGTCACCTGCTCCTCTGAGATTGCACTTCTGGAAGCCGCCCCCGAACGTAAACTTGGTGGTAGTGAGGGCTGCCTGAGTGTTCTCTTTGACAGCCATCAGTGTGGTGTCGGATTTTGTAGCTCTGAATTTCACGGCTCCAGTCGACAGCGAGGATCCAGAGGTTGAGAGGGATGTTGTACTTGAAATTGTTAGAGGTACACCAAATTGAAATACTGGTTTGGCAGCGCTGTCACAGCTGCCAAATTTGAAACCTCCCCCTCCACCAAATGTGAGAATGCCGGGTAAAGAGCCAGAATCTCCAGTTTGCGGAGCTGCACCAGGTTTAGGCGTCATGCAGGCTGCACAGGTTGTGTCATCCTTACGATTGCTCAGCATGCACATTTTACACTGCCAGTCACCCGCCTGGCTCTTGAATTTGGCAAATACGTCCTCACTTCCTGCCTGAAAATAAGACAATAACCAAATATATACCACTACATCATGTGAAACATATAACCAATTAGCACTTGTATTACACTGTGTTTATTCCTAACGAATTCTTAAACACCCTACAGTACTAATTGACTTTACAAAGCATAGAACCACTTGGCCATTGCAACAACTCTTTTCAACTTAGCAGGCAGAAGTGCTGACAAATTGAAATGTCCATGACTACTTAATGACCATCAGCCTCATCATAACATCAGGGAAGGGAATGACTAATCTTTTCAATTTTCAGATAATCCTTCTGGCCACCCCTCTAGGGGTTTACCACCTAATTTAATGTCCCTCACTTTGTCCTTTCCCCTACCTCATCCCCACTATACACACTAAATGGCAGGCCAACCAAGGCTTGCCATTTTAAGACATGTGCTCAGATCACTTTCAACCATGCTTGCGTGTCTCTTGCTTGTTATGTTTAGGTCCCCAAGTCATTTTGCCTTGGAAAAAGGTCATGCTAGGATTGACATATTAGGATTGACATATTATTGGATACACTCTTTACATCAGCTGCTCACCTCTTGATCTGGTTCGTCACTAACTTCAGTAGCATCTTCCTCCTTTGATTCCTTCCCATCTTGTTGAGTATCTCCCACCGCCTCAGCCGCAGCCGCAGCTGCCTCTGTCTTCTGCTCCGCCTCTCTCTCCTCCTCTTCCCTCCTGGCCACCTGGAGTTCCTCCAGGCGGCGCTTGAACTCGTGGGCCAGCTCTGCGGTCTTGAACTTGATGGCCAGCTGCTCGTGGGAGGGTTCATCCTCAGAGTAGTCGATAGCGTGCCAGACCCAGGATCGGTCTGAGGACTGCAGGGGGTCCAGCTTCATGTCTGGGGTGATGCGGTGGTTGGCACACAGCTTCAAGACCTGTTGAAGCAGAAGTGAGAAGAGTTCATCTATGTACATATATATTCTCCACAACACATTGTTTCAAATCTGTTATCATTTGTTCAAAGCAGTAGATTTAACTGAAGAATCTGAGGTTCTTCATATTAAGTTTGTCAAAAAGCATGGTGTAAAGGACGCATATGTGTTTCTTGGCCTGCATGAGATGCTTCAACAATAGGTCAAGTCATGTATGCTCGAGTCATCAACCATTATGGGTGATGACTATACATTCAGCAGCGAGGGTAGAAACATTTCATTTGATCTCCGAAGTCGAACTTATATCTACTTATACCAACTGTGTTTTCCTAATAACAGATCCTGCAATAAATTAAACTGCCGTCAAGAGTCAAACTGCACCTTGTGAGTCACTGTAATCCACCCGACTACAAACCTGCCCTATAAGCCTACGAGTATTCAATGTTTAAACGTTTAACAGTTATATAAGTAACCATTTTGAGATTTATGGTTCAACATAGTCATTAAGCAACAACCAAAATATAAACACAGCTCCCACGTTTTCAATGTTCCAGGTGCATCTTAATTTTGTATTTCTTGCCACACATGTTAAGTAAAAAGTGATTACTGTTGAAATATTTGAATCGCCAAAATGTTACAACAGTCAAAGCCTCTGACCTGTTCCCGTCGCATGATCAGTCGCAGGGTACCGCTTTCTTTATGACGTAGCAGTTTGACGTCTCCAATCCCTCGCTCCATCCATTTAGCCAGGTCCTTGGCATAGCGATACAGACGGGCCCGCTGCTTGTACATCACCTCCTCATCCTCTTCACCGGTTTTGCATTCCACAAGCTGCGAGAAATTCAGAGCATCAATGCTCCCTTTTAGTGTCAGGATACATCATTCTACTATTTTTGGCCAGTAAATTTTGAGTAAATCAAAACGGAAACTATTTTTCTTTAAGAGGTAATAAATAAGACTATACACTAGGCAATTCTTGTACCTCTGGCAATAACACAGTTGGGTCCTCCTTAGATGCAACAAAGATGGGAGCCCCAGCTTTGGGGAACACAAAGCCTTTTGTGGATCCTGGTGAAGATAAAGAAAAGTTTGAAGTAAATGTTAGGCCTGTCTATTCCAACTGAAAATTTGTTGGATTATGCTTAACTATGATCTCTGTGGTTGGTCATGCAGAGAGGTCCTTCGTGCAGCTTTCAAAAGACCAAGTGAGTATGAAGACCTGAAAATGGTACTAGATCTATTTTCAATCAATGCCACATTGATTTGGTCCATTTCCAAGAAGTTTAAAAATGAAAAAAAAATAGCCAAATGCTCAAGGGCACCGCCTTTGGCATATACCAAAATAATATGACAAAATAATCTGATCGAACTCTGTTACTGGTAAATGTTCACCTTCAGAAATGGTCCCTTGTTTGTCTGTTTTGATATGAGCAAAACTAGTCAAAGTCAATGCTCCACTAGCGCTAGCACCAAATATAGTTGATGAGGGCTTGCTACCTTCTGTTTATGAGGAAGGAAAAAAAGTATCAAAAATACAACCAAGACTAAGTGTTAAGAAGCCAGAAACAGCAAAGAGAAAAAAAAACGACAAAAAAACCCTCTAAATGCCAATTAATAAAAGCAAAACGTTAGAACTTTGCAGATCGAGGGAACAAAACCTCAAATGCACTTAGGCCCTAAAATTCACCTCTTTAAGTCAAACAGGAATTTCATGCAAATGTTAAGAAGTTGCAAATATTTCTAAAATTCCCTACTCCTAGTAGTTTCCCCAATATTTTAGACATATTCAGACATATTTCCCATTGCTTGTGTTAACAAGAAAAAATACTTGGCTGCCTTTTGTTTGTCAAACATCCCAACATAGAGGTAGATCCCCATAGAGGCATGCTTCCCTCCAGTTGATCGCATGCATTGTGAACTACGATACCTTGGGTATCGAATGTGGTTGATGTGGTTGGTGTCTTCTTAGCGACAGATGTAGTAGCTGTCTTGGTGATAGCACCAAACGTCTGCTGTTCTGAGGTTGTGCTGAACACTGGAGCTTGTGAATGCGCGACAGAGGCAGCTGCTGGCTTGACGAATGTGGGTGCTAGGGGAAAAATCATATATTACACTGTCTGTCTGGATCAAGCATGGATCAAGCCCAAAAACTTTACGTGGAATGGCCAGGTGGAGAATTTTATCACCACATGTGTTTATAGGTCATTAAACCTGGCATGCCTGTACATGCACAAGATATAGGTCATTCACATGGCCAGGGATTGTTTACAACCTGTCTGAGCTCTGGGCGGCACGAGGGGTTGACACAAAGGGATCAGCAGCACTTTAGGGGTTGGCCACTAAGATCTCCTATTACTGCAAAAGGCATTAGGCGCCATCTTGGCTTCTGTCTTTCAACACTCCTTACTCCGGAGTGGCTATGATCTGGCCAATGGGAGTCTACAGGCTTGTGGTGTATAGTAGGGGTGAGGATTACATAGAAGCTTGGCCTAATTGGCCCATTGAAAAAAAAATATGCCCATATTTGGAAAATGTGGAGAATGTTATTGTCCGCTCGCTGCGTGAAGAGTCCTTAAGGGAAAAGATGTCAGAGACACCTATGAAAACCTACAACTCTTTCCTCTTGCAGCTAGATCCGCAGGATCACATCCCGGGCAGCCGGGACACGGAGGCTCATCCTCATAGAGGAAGAAGGTAGGTGGGAGGAGGAGTGCTTCAGCCCGGGCCCGCTGATCAGGGGTAGGTGTCTTCTCCGATATAAAGATCACATCATCTTCACCAACATCATGAACATCATCTGAACATCAGAAGCACATTGAGATAATGCATCCTTTGCAAAAGGTTTCAAAATTTGCAAGCAAAAGATATTTTGCACAAGACTGTGCTTATGAGCATGTGTTTATTTTCTTTCTGCAGACTCCCAGAGGGTTTGGAAGCACTGCCAAAACTAAATGTTGTTGACAACTGAACAAGCTGACAAGCAAGAATTTCACAGGGAAAAAAACGATGTACCACAATGTTTTTCAAACCAAGATACGTTTCTGAATAACAGATTTCCCCAACTGGTCTTTAATACAGCCATTTGTAAAAGATTGCAAAGAAATATGATATGAATTGGGCTAGAGTGGGCTGCACTAGCTGTGGCACTCTCTGACAGGTTGAAGTTTGACTGGTGCCGGCACTGCTTAGCCTACCCATGCCCATTGATGCTGTCATTTTGGAGCTAGATGGCTGACCAAAGATAAATGATGATGGCTTGGATGGGGAAAAGAAGGAAGGCGCCGGCTGGCTGATGCAGGGCTTAAAGGAGAAGTTGGAAAAAGCAGCAGGTGCAGAAGTGGAGGCAGAAGTGGCAGTAGGAGTTTTGCCAGAGGGCATGGCTGTTCCAAACAAAGAAGAGAAGTTTTTTGGGTTGGAGTCAAAGAACCCATGTTGAGATTCCTGGCTGCTAGCAAAAAGGCCCTGTGTTTTAATTAGCACCTAGTGATTTATAAAAGACATTAAAATAAAGTCCAAATTGCAGTGTTTTGCAAAGTACAGTGATTACATTTCATTTGCAATACACACATTTATACATCCCTATATCTTGCCCAATAAAAGAGACTGAAATCCTGAAGTGTTTGCCTTTATCTTTCTGCTGGCTCAACGTTGAGGGAGGGGAAATGCTTGAAGGGTGACTGTTGCTTGTGCTCAGGGTGCTGAATTCTGGCAGTGCTGAAGACCCATTGGAGGATTTATTCTGGCCAAAGGCGAATGCAGTCAGTAAGGTCTGTGTTTTTCTCATGCGCCTTGTTCTTCGAATCCTTTCCAGTGGAGATTTCTGACCGATGGAGAAACCACCCGGCGGATTTTCTGACAACCAACAGAATATAGGCCTTACTGCTGCAATCCTGTGCAAATTAGTTCTTCACAAGCCCTTTAACCCATGCCGCAACTGTATATGTACTACATTGTATTACACTGCACGTATTCACTAAAAAAATCCATGAATCCTTTGATGAGTGCTTCGGTGGTTTCGGGCGGTACAGGGAGTTAAAGGTAGGGCAGTTTGGGGTGGCATAAAAACAAATATGAGTAACCAATGCAAAGCAATTTCCAAAATGGAACAGTTTTCAAATTTCTCTTTTATAGTCCTCAAGAGGGCAAAAGGCAAGATTGCCAGGTGATCAGTACTTTTTTAGCATTAACCATTAAGAAAAAACAGACTCGGACATAAAACTGCCCGAGTAGATTATTTGATTTGATTTTAATGGTCCAAAAAAGCACTGCAACAAATTGTAAATGGTTGTACGTACCCGACCTGTCTGAAGACTGTGAACTGCCAAATGTCAAACTTTTCTGGAATTTTTTGGCAAATGCAGCCTGAAATAAACAAAACAGAATAACAAAATTAAGAAATAGCAAGATTGGAAATGCATCCAAAAACTTTTCCCTTAAAATTTAGAGAGTTTTTTATTTTAATAATAAAAAAAAAGATTGCCTAATGCCAGTTCTTGGTTCTTGGTTGGTTTCTCTCCTAAATACTCCACGTGGGAGTTTATACAGGAGGTCAGAAACACCGGGGCAAACCCCTTCTCTTAGCGATAAGTGTTTACTGGGTCGAAGTTTACGTGCATTTATACAACACACGGGACCTACGGCTTAACGTCCCATCCAAAGGACGAAGCAATAATGGTTAAGTGCCTTGCTTAAGAGCACAAGTGTCCGCCGGCGGGCTCGAACCCACGTAACTGTTGCCTCTGAAACACCAGAACGTTAGTCAGGTGTTCTTAACTGCTAGGCCATCACACTCCAGTTCATGGCCTTCATGCACTACGTGACTTCAGAAAGCAAAGCAAGTGTAAATTGTGCCTGCACCACAATCACAAATTTGCATTTTGACTCTTCTTCAAATTACAGGTTTGACAAATCGTGTTTTTGATAGGCTATTGCATCATACGGCAGTGATCATACTGTCCTTTAAAGCAACAATAAAAAAATATCATTGCTTAAGCATTCTATCCAGCATGATGTCAAACAACTTAGTGCACTTTGTGTTGTGGATTGGTCTTAAAGGATAGTCAAATTCGCACAGACAACTTGATTATAAATTGCATACTTTTTTTGTTGTTGGTGGTGCAAATGCAATAGTCGAGGATGTTAATGAGAATCCAAAATTAAGACTTTTCATATCAATCACTCAAATTAACTGTCTTGGGTTTGTCTTACTGCACTCTGTTTTAACTCTACCTCTTCCTCCACTTTCCTGATAGCCTGGAGTTCCTCCAGACGTCGCTTGAACTCTTTGGCGAGCTCCGAGGTTTTGAACTTGACTGACAAGTACCGGTACGAAACCTCCCCTGCTGATGGTGATAAGTCAAAGAAACGCCAGACCAACCTGTCAGAGGACTTCAGGTTTGTCGTCATGTGGGCGGAAATTGAGTGGCTCGAACATATTTTTGAGTCCTGCAATGAAAATTTTACATGAGTAAACGTTCTCACACACTGATTTGTGATCCATGATCTTCACTAATGGATATTAATAGATCTGATAATATATTTTTTCAACTGTGAAGTAATGTTAGTCCATTTCAGAATGAACGTGTTTTTCAAATTTTGTGCATTATCCTGATGCCACACTTCGCATGCCAACTTAAGTGTCATTTTTCCAAAATTACTTTTATTATAAACGTGTATTTTTGTACATTTTTGATTAACACTGGTGCCATTGTGAAACTTGTTGTTGATATTCGAATGAGCACTGGTATTTTGGGAAGTCACTGGCTAATCACTTTTGTTGTGTGTTAATTAAGATTGGTTTGCAGTTTGGAATAATTTAATACAGTACACAATACATATAAGCGTAGTACAATTAAGGGTTACAGAGTTCAATGCTATAATCCGGCAAACACATTTGCCTGTATAGCTTTGATGATAATTTGTGAAGTATTAGTCTGCAGGATTGAACAAAATATTACCTGTTCGTGTTGTACGATCAGTCGCAAGCTTCCACTGTCTTTGAGGCGTAGTATTTTGACGTCACCGTTCCCTTTTTCCATTACCTTCCAGACGCCTTGGTGTCTGGCAAAACAGCAGAATGCAGCTTGCTGCTTGTACATCAAATCTTCATCCTCCTCTCGTATTGTGGTGTTAAGAAAACTTGACCATACCTGCACATTTGAGAATGATGACATGTGCAACCACATGTATTTAATTATAGCCTGAATTCAACCCCCCTCCCCCCCCCAAAAAAAATATATTATTTCTCACGTATCAAAACATTTTGAAAAGAAAAAAATGATGTCCAAAATTCCCGATAAAAAAAGTATAAAATCCCGCTGGGGTACCGGTTGTGAATATTGTCCTGCCGGGAATCCGGGTTCTTCCGAGAAGAAGAAACTGCGATCCCGTCTGGATTTCTCCCGACCCAGTTCCATTTTCCATGGGATATATGATTTTAACATCATAGAGTACAGTGACTACTGTAAAATCTGCTTTCTGTTCTAGCAGATTGTGCCACAGCACAATGTCCAAGAGGATGACCCTCAAAGCAGAAGTTGGGATGCTCACTTTCTTCAGTTGACTTTGTTGAAAAGAACAAATCAAATAAGATGTTTCATAGTTATCAGCTTCAACATAATCTTGGATTGTCTTACAAGTGGCTGTTTTCTTTCTTCCTCCTCCTCCAATTTCCTGGCAGCCTGAAGTTCCTCCAGATGTCGCTTGAACTCGTTGGCAAGCTCTGAGGTCTTGAACTTGATGGCAAATTTACCATAGCCAGCAACTCCCTCAAAGAAATCGGTGGTGGTCCAGACCCATGACCGGTCTGAGGACTTCAGAGGGTTTAGTTTCAGGTCACTGGTGATGCTGTGGTTTGCAACCATTTTTGATTCCTGCAACAGGGAACAGCCATTAATAAAGTATTCATATACAGTTGATAAATACAGGCATGCAACTGGGAATTTAGAAAAAAAAACCAAGGAAATCCCGAACCACACAAGACTTTGTACAGTATTTTTCAGTTTGTAATTGCATTAGTGAAGAGTGAAAAATGAGGAAATCAGCAGATCCAACGAATAATTACATGCCTGTAAATACGTTGACTGTATTAGCTTTGTACGCAAACAAGAGAGGGTGTACTAGTTCACGCACATTACACACGACTTATTTTAATCCGAATGTACCCAAAACAACAGCATTGGCGTGAGCTTCAGGAATTGTCGCATTTCCGAAATAAACCTTGTACGTGTTCAGCCACGGACGTTCAATAATTAAATACGTTTCCCTTTCAGCTACATATATTTTGTAAGTATATGTTTTTCTGTCACAAAGTATGTATGTAATATGCGCGATCTTGCTTTCGGGACAAATTTACACTCGTTGCTGTGCATGCATCATCACATTTTTGCACTTCCTAGTCATTTTGCAGTCATGCCAAGATGCGCCGCGTCTATAGCAAAGCATGTTTTTTTTTTCCTTTGAGCAAGATAGCATATATGACAGTGAAAGTGCTCATTCAAATTTGTTAAAATCACAAATCTTGCTGTGAGATACTTGGCAAAGCCTGTGAGCGAGATGGCGCATATTACCGTAAAAGTACTTAATCTGTTTACGTTCACGGTAATTATGCACCATATGTTCCAGGGGCAAAAAAGAACATGTGTTGCTCGACGCCGGTGCATTTTGGAATGGACGCATTACTCTTGAAGTGCAAACGTTTTTGATTGACGATGCCTTCACCACAAGGCGTGTAAATTTGCCCCGTAAGCAAGATGGTGCAGATTACCGTGAAAGTACTTTTGATGACTTAAATGCAAACAAATATGCGACATAAGATTGACGTGCTTCGACAGATTTATGCATAAATGTTAAATGAAATATTGCAATTCAATAATTGCAATTGTTAATTGTGTTGATTTTTTTGGTTTCTTAAGCACAAACATGCAGACTTACCTGTTGCAGTTGCATGACTAGTCGCAAGGCACCAATATCTTTATGGCGAAGTAATTTTACATGACCAATCCCTCTTTCCTTCCAGATGCCCAATTTTCTTGCAAAGTGGTAGATATGGGCTCTCTGCTTGTACATCAACTCTTCGTCATCCTCCTGCATTAAAAAAATGCCGCGAGTAAAACTCCTGCTTAGTAACGAAGACAGTCTGAGAAGACAAAGTAATTATGAAAGCACAATGATGAGGATGCCTTAATTTATTGAGAAAGCAATATCAGGTGGAAACAAAATTCTAGTAATCTTTGAAAGTGACAATTTAAAAATGTCCCACAATAAGTTGATATTTACACAATAGCAGTTTGAGCGAGATCCAATGATATTGTTGAACTATTTCTGCACAGGCTTGGTAAGTTTAAACAAACTTCATTTTGTACAGACATTTCTGAAATCAAGTATGCTATTACAAAAAAATAATGTCATTTCTTTGGAGCAGTGAATGTTTGTTTACACCTTCATGTAAACTCACGCTTGAGAGCATTAATGAAATAAAAATTTCAGGAATGGCTAAGGACACTGAAAAAAAACATGGTTGTAGAAAGACAGGGGGATTTGTTTTCAAAACATTCAACTTACTGGTCCAGGCATTTCTGAGGGATCTAATGTAGCTGCTGTCACAAAAGTGGAAGAGAAGGATTTCTTTTTTGCCTGCAATGAGTTTCCTACAAAAACAAAAGCACACAATTATTCATCCAGTATATAAACAGACATCAAAACACACGTCGTGCCTATCAGGTTTATCAATTTAACTTGGTGACAAAGCGAAGATTTGCATGCTCTGCTGTGGTTGGGCTGGGAGTACATGAGCTGTTTTGTCTGATTCTAGTCTGACACTGTTTTAAAATATGAAAGACAATTTGAAGTTTACTCTTTCATAATTTAACGTTGCTGGAAAAAAATGACAAAACAGCAAAAAACTGCATATGACATTAATTTTTGTTTCAAAAATCTCAAATGGACATTTGAAGAAAAAGATCAGTTTCACAGTTATCAGCATTGGTTGGTTCAACCACTTATATTCCAACGACTTTGTCGAGAAAAAACACTGTCCATCGATGAGGAAGTAAAAGTTATATCTACGTTTGAATTTTACCGATATTTACTCAAAACAGGGACTACACACATAGGATTCTGATAGAAAGAAATTTGTGTGCTTTTACTGTTGTTTAGAACAGAATGAAACTCAACTTGAATAGTTTTGAGTTATTCACCAGCAGCCAATTTCACGACATTTTACGCAATATTTATGGCGGAATTCCACTTGCGCCACAATTTATTGATTAAGCTGCACGCAACATTCCAAGCTGCGCAACATTTCACTTAGCACATATCAGGAAAGTCTGATAAGTTTGAGACTTGCTTAATAAATTATGGCATAACTTGCGCAATCATCTTAGGTGGCGTAAGATGTGGTTACCTGCAAATCGTGATTGTTGTAGAGCCATTGCACAACTTATCGAGGTTGATACAAGACACTCACATCTGCTTGTTTGAAGTAAATGAATTTCTGTTTTACTGGGAACAGAATAGTTAGAGTTGCCACACTATTCCGAAGAAAGACGGACAATATAATTTTCAAAATGGCGGGCCGAGATGATCCAACAACTGTTTCATGATCAAACAAATTCATACACCAGCAGCCGTCGTAAATGCTGTTATTATCCTCGTCCAAGATGTTTAAATTATTCAAAACGTTGCGCAGCTACGCTAAGTTTCGTGAAATAGATCGTAAGTTTACCGCGCAACAAATTTGTTGCGTAAGTCTTACGCATGGCGCAAGCTGCGCACTTTTTCGTGAATTGGCTGCAGGTAGTTTTAATGCTTTACCTTTGATTCCACTTGACGCCTGATGTTGAGAACTGCCGATATCTCCAGAAGGTGGGGGTGGTAGTTGTTCCATGAAGTCCTCAGAGGCAACTTTCACTGTAACCGCAGCTGGTTGAACTTGTGCACTGTGTTGTGTTCCTCCAAAATATGAGCTTTTTTTTTTTTTTCTGGGACGAGAGACTGATACAGAATATTTAAAAAAAAAGAAAATTAATTTTTGGCCTCAATTAAATGGTAAACTAATGTATCAATCAGATATTATTCTTTCAAAAATATATGACATTTGACCGACCACATACAGAAATGACAGTAGTGTTTAAGTTATTTGTAAATCACACCCCGTTCTTGTAAACAATGAAACAGGAGTGAAAAAAAATGGCAAAACTACGGGAACATGTAAAGAGATACTTCACTTGTACTGCAGTTCTAAAGATGAGTATAAGTTCAGGGAATGACAAGAAGCTGATCTCTTACATTTAGTAAGAATAATGATATCACAGTGCTAAACCACTTGGAAGAACAAAGCCTAAATGAAATAAGTCTGCACCCCCCCATGGGAGGAATGTTATCGGAAGGTGAAATCTGGACTCCCTTCAGATTTTACCAAGCGATAATATTCCTCCCATTTCACAATTTAAAGCCACTCAATATTTGTTTTATATAACTGATATATATAGATCCTTGTCATATTTTGATATATATTTGAACTTGTACTTCAACGTGAAATTATTGGAAAATGTATTTCTCTCTTCAAAACCACCCCTTCACAAAAATGATTAATTGAACCCAACCCTGTAGCATTGGCTCTTATTTGGAACAATACGCGCAACGCGCAACGCTGAACGCGCACACCAGCATGCATTTGCACACAAATACCGCGTCATGGAACTACAATGATCCAAACTGCTGAAAAGTATCCCATTCCCCATGGGCGAATGGGACTTTTTGAGCCCCTGCGTGAATGGGAGCAATAATGAATGTCATGTGATGCGAGTTCCACCAATCAAATGACAAACATCTGTATGTCAGTTATATAATAACTAAAATAACTATATAATAAGTTTAGTTCTAAGAGTGACAATGGTTATATAGGGTTTAACAAAAATTGGGCGCTCCCTGCATTTAATTGCAAACTATACGTACTTGAACTACCAGATAGCCGGCATGGCGCGTCCTGATCACACCGTGACTGAACAGTACCAAATAATGATGACCCTGTATGAAAAGAGGACAGTTAAATGTCTGTGGGAAATTGTTTTTATTTAAATTGCATGGTTTCAAAAACAGTTGTGTCCATCCAAAATATGATGAAAATTCCCCCAAACAATTTGTACTATTCATTAAAATTTATCACGGCATACAGTTGTCAATAAAACAGCAAATATGATGAGGCGTTGATTATATAATACAGCCATCAATAAAAATGCGTACGTACTTGAACTACCAAATAGTCCACTTGCTTGCTTTGGTTTACCAAAGGATGAGCCTGTATGAAAGAGTACAGTTAAAATTGCATGGTTCCAAAAACAGTTGTGTCCATAAGAAATATGATAAAAATCCCCAAACTATTCATTAAAATTTATCAAGGCAGCACAGTTGTCAACAAAGCAGAAAATATGATGAGGTGTTGATTAGGCCAAAAAAAAAAAAAAAGTCTCCGGTTTTTGGTATGGAGCTTTCCCCAAAAGTGGTGCGACGGCGTGGGTTTTTGTTTTTTTACCCTACTTTTTTCTTCTTCAAATGTCGGCTGATGTTGCAGATGACGCTTCGATCCCCTTGAAACTCTCAAAAATGTCCTTCAGAGTGGAGCTTGAGCTTGTGAGATGACCTCAGTAAGGCCATAAGGCTCAAGGACTCTGCACCCACTTACGATCTCGACCGACACGAACATTCTTCGGGAAATTTGGATACTAGTCAAGACAAAAATCACTAAATCAGAGAAAACGGTAACGTAGGATCTTAGTGTCAGACCACCGCGACATCTACATCGTGCATGTGCTGCCAGGCTGGTCATTAGTCTGTTCCCTGCCTTACATATCATGTTAACTAAAAAGCGTTTACAGGTTTCAGTAATTGCACGACCATCGCTCCCTCAGTCTGGCTTTCAGACGCACAATTACAAAATTACATCCCCGCTTGCAAATGGTGCCCGACTAAATTTAGTGCACAATATATGGGAGCCGCGAGAGGCCACATAAAGCCTATACTCGATCGTAACCCCATCTAAAATCACGTTAAAATTGTGCAGCAGCAGGATTTCAATCAAACCAGTGAGTTTGGCGGTCTTGAGACATCATCTTACATTGAAAAAAAAAACTGTTTTAATTTTGCCGAAGTGCACGGCTCGGCGAGCGCGCGCATACCAGAAACTGGAGAATTTTTATTTGGCCTTATATAATAATGCCATCAATGAAATACGTACGTAGTTCACTTGCTTGCGTTGCTGGCTGATTACCAAAGGATGAGCCTGTATGAAAGAGAACAGTAAAAAGTCTGGGATAATGAAAATTATAATCACACCATGATAAAGTTCCAAGTATTAAAACTTATTGACTCAAGCATGGGGATAATAAATAGCAAAATATACCTTGTCCATAACTGTAGCCTGAAGAATCTCGCAATGATCCTAGTGTTGCCGATGTGTTTTCTTGAAATGTCCAGTGGGGTAACCCTTGAAAAATATCTTCAGGCCTCATGTTCATGTGACTGTCCAAGCCTTTTTCAATTAGAGGACACAACATAAGGAAATCACCATCTTCTGAACTGTCCACAATCTCCTGCGCTGCTTCAGTGGCATCAAGCATGCATTCGATCGCAGTGTTCATCTTTGCCCCACAGCTGTCCAAGATTTTTGCTTGGTCCCGACGTATTTTGGATATGGTCTGGAGGAGACTTGCTTCCTCTGCGCAAATGTCCACACGGACCTTGTTGGCAAATCTCTTGACCTGTTGCTCTAGTTGGAAAGTGTGATTGTCAAATTCGGAGCCTTTGGTCACCATGCTTTGGGCAGCAGATTTGAACTCGGATAGTCTTTGATTCCCAAGTTGGGATATCATTTGTCTCACTGCCGATCTCTTCTTGGTAGCAGCGGATTCTACTCTGCTGGACTGATGGTTCGGATGACAATCTTGAACATTCCTGGTTCCGCTTCTTTCAAGTTTAAGAGTTACACACTCTTTGCACAGTAACTCCTTGCAAGTTTCACAGTAAATACTGCTTCGCTCTCTGCAACCAGGGTGTTTGCTGCATCCTGCCAGGCCTTGCTGCTTCTTGACAGCCTGGGCTTTCTTGCCGCAAGTCAGGTCATCCAATGCAGCAACTCTGTGCTGCGAACATGCAGGAATGCGGCGGTGAGCTGTCTGACAGTGCTTGCAAAGGAACATGCTGCAGTCAAGGCATCGTGACACTGCTCTGTTCTTTTGGTCACAAGCCTCACAAACCAAAGCCTTTCTTTGAGAAGTATTTTGCAACACTTCCTCTTGGACTCGGGCATCTTCAATCAAGCCAACAAGGTGAAAATTGGTTTTCAGGTTGGCAACGTTGTTATCAGGGATGTCAGTTTCTTCTTCGCAGATGGGGCACTCAATACACGTACGTCGCTGAGAAAAACCTGTTTGAGGTTTAAACTTCTCAGCCAGGCATTTTTGACAGAAGCTGTGCAAGCACAGCAAGAGTTTGGGCTCCTTGTATCTCCCATTGCAGATGGAGCACACAAGGGATGTCTTACTAATGCTTATTAACTGAGTGGTTGCTACATCTGCCATCGTGTTTCAAAATGGGAAAGTCCCTGTCGCAATACACAAATACCTGGAAATAAAAAACAAAAAAAGAAGAACATGTATGCATCGCCCATGTGACACATTAAGTTTGATGCAGACAATAACTGACTTGAGTAACTTGTTCCGATCCACCCACTGGCAGATCCAAGGGGGGGGGGGGGGGGGGGCAACCAACAGGAGGGGGCCCAAATGGATTTTTTTTTTTACATTTCTGTCTTAAATTTCAGGAAATGTATTGCATATCCCTATCAACTGCCATCATAGGCCTTCACATACCTTTTAGTATAATAACAATGTGGAAATAGCACACGATCTATAAGTATAATCCTCTTCCCCCATGTACGTATACGTAGGCGTACCACGTACATATAGGTCGACGTCTAACGTCGGCTTCATAGGTTAATAGTTATATGCAGAGTTCATCTAGTGCACATGATGCCCTCTTTCCACAAAATTCTAGCTGATATTCAACATGGAATTAGCGAACTAAGTTAGATGATTCCAATTACATAAAGTGCCTTTTCCTGCTTGTATTGTAGTCAAATGTTCAGGTAGGCGAAGTTATCCATATTTATTAGCTTGAGTAACTGCAGTGCAGCTTAACACGCTCATCATGTTTTTGGACTTACAATTCCATGTATTATTACTTTTAGCTGGAATTAAGCTCATCAGAAATTCAATCATCAGAAATTCACATTTAACAAAACGTGAATTTCTGATGCATCAGAAATTCACATGTTTTGTTAAATGTGAATTTCTGATGATTGATTTACTGATGAGCTTAATTCCAGCTAAAAGTAATACTACATGGAATTGTAAGTCCAAAAACATCAAAGTGCCTTTTCGTTCTCTGTGAACAGGGTCCTTATGTCCTAAACTCGACGATTACCGAAAAGACGACGAACATTTAAATAACATTCTGATCTGTTTAAAAAAGTCGATCTTACCTTTTCAAAATCAATCGAAAGGGAAACTGTCCCACACCGATTCAGTATAAAAATCGTTATGCATCACGTGCCGGGCTAGGATAGGGTACAATCAATCATGGAGCTATATGTGTAGTAACTTGTATGTAACGTATGGTACAAGTAGTGAAGTACATGACAAAACTTAGTTTGTGTGCCTGCACGGACACACCGGTCATCCGATCTAAATGTATGGAGGCAAACGCCCTTTGAACCTGGGCTATAGGCGTTTCCATGTCGTGCACGTAATTGCGCGGCCAGGGGAAATCCCCAGCCACGCAATACCATTAAATACTAGACTGGCTTCACAGTCCTCCACGCTTCAAGTTGCACGGCACCGGCGCGAAGTCAAACTGGATGATGATGCGCATAGCGGCGAATGTCCAGTCAACATTCCGAGATTCATGGGAACCACCCGTCCCCCCCCCCCAAGATATCGTGTTTTTTCCCGCCAGGTTCCTCCATTTTCTAATAATCTTTGGAACTTAAAAATATTTGGACAGGTGGGATGGGGGGGGGGAGCACTCTTTTTTTTTTACCTTCTCCGTATGTCCTGCATGTCGGTGGGATGGGGGTTAATTGAACAGGGCACCCTCGTTTCAGCACGGACCCGAACACATTTTGCGCCAACAATTGTTTGGATCTCAGGAATGGAGCCTGAAAGTAAAAGGTCACGCAGCGAGCTTCTTTTTTTTTTTAAACGTACATCCTAAAAGACATGTTAATATGTCTCCTATTTTAAGCTTCAGTTTTCACCGAATTACCGCCACAAAATTATTTCATAAACGTTCATCTTTGTGCAAGTACACCGAGTTCCTCTCGTCCACATGTAATTTAGATTTTCGGAAGTGTGAGGTCGATTTTCGACACGATACAAATTTATCTTTCACGTCAGAGGCCTTTTTTCGAGGGTGATTTTCTTAAGAAATCAATGTACCAAAAGCAATTGCAAATTTTGTAGATTTTTTGCAAGTTAATTTTCCCATTCAAGGGTTCCGGAAGCGCGCCACCAAGGCCGGGTAAACTTTCAGGCTCTGTGCTGATTGGTCAAAAGTAATAACAGCAGCGTACGCGTGGCTAGAGCACATGCTGCGCTGGCGCGGCGCGCACATATTCACACGTGTGCTGCTTTTGCTAACTTGTGCATCCAGCAACTACTTTTGTACACATGTATTTGTAAATATTATGCAGGAAAAGCAAATTGGAGGTACATGTATGTAGTCTCAAGTTCCTTTTTATTTCCTTTGAAGAATAACATTATATAACAGATAACATTATGCAGAAGTATAACATTTATTGTCAGCCATTTATCGCAAGGTTACACATTGTGATCTGAAGATGCAACCAGGACAGGTTGTAAAACTGTTCCCTTGATCCTAGTAAAGCACGTTTCCAGTTCGAGTTGATTAAATTCGATTTTTGTAAGCTATTATTTCATTCATGGATGCCTCAAAATCTACATTAATATAAATTACAAATGTCTACTTCCAACTGAAAACAGCGACAAGTTTTACAAGACAAAGCCAGAATCTAGGAAATTGTAAATTTTCAGATATATTATAAGAGACTGCTCACTTGTTTTACTTGCAGTTTGCTAAACCAACATCAAATGTGTTCAGGCATTTTCTGTCATGAATTGAAATGGTTGCTGGAGAGGATATTTGGGAGGCTATTTTCTTAAAACTTATTCATAAAACCTCCTTCCTATAATAATATTTTGGAGCTTAAAAATTAGAAGCACTCTGTACCCTGAAGGCTACTCTCAACTTTCTAGAAAGAAAAGAATTTCGACTGAAGTCTCTAGAGTGTTATATGTCACAAAAAACCTTTGATAGAAAGCTGATGGAATCCACTTTAACCCCACTAAAAATAATTGAGATCCTGCTGCAGTTTAAGCAGAACATATTAATATTCAGAGTTTTTTTGTTTAATCCACATCAAGTTTGGCTGTGGTGTTGCAATTCAGGACAAATGATTCAGACCAGAATTTGTAATGACTCGAGTCAATGACTCGACTAAAGTCCGACTAATTGAGTCACAATTTTTGGTGACTCGACTCGAGTCACTGGGAGCAAATGACTTGACTCAACTCGAGTCTTTTATCAGAAGACTTGACTCGACTTGGGCGAAGGCTAATAAGACTCGAGTCCTAAAAATAAAAACAAAACCTTGCGAAAAATATTTGCAATGGCTTATGCCGTACGGTGCAAATTTTATATTCACGTCACTTTTCAAATACAGTACGGCAGAGCGACCGCTTGTCATTTACAAATAGTGTGTGATGTGTCATGTCTCAGACTCTCACCTCATGATTCTGAACACATAAAATACTATCCAGGAACTGGATTTTAAAAACATTTTCAAATTCTTTGTTTCATCATTGACTTAATTGGGAAATTTCTTTTAATTGCTCTTCGTTTCCAACACCAGCTAAATAGTAAATTTATGCCCTTCCTTTTAAAAATTTAATACATGTAGGTACATGCTTACTTTTAAATAATCAGAAACAGTTTCGTATTTAAATGCAATTTGGTTTTGATGTCAGCGATCGGCAATAAGAAATCTAGACCCAAAGCCAAACCATGAGTTTCAATTCTTGTTAAATATTTGTTATACAAATGACTTTCTCTCTTGTCTTTATTTGTTTTATAGCGTTCAAATATTTGTGACTAAAATTGACTCAAGCTAAATATTTGACTTGACTCGACTCGACCTTCTTGACCTAATGACTCGACTCAACTTGAGTCACTTCTTTAAAATGAATCGACCTGACTCGAGTCACTTCTATTAAATGACTCAACTCAACTCGAGTCACAAAAATCAGTGACTCGTTACAACTCGGAGTCAGACGTCGAAGGGCTCTCCGCTTCAGCCACAGAAGGTGATGATGTTGCCTGATTACAAAAAAGAAAAGGAATTAAGTATTAGACTTGAAGAAGTGCTAGGTGGTCTTATAATGCAGTAAAGAAAGTGCATGACCCTATACACCTGGCACAAAAAGAAACTAAGCAGTTTTTATAATCATCCCTGTTACTTTTCTCGGTGAATGAAAAATCTGTCACGGAAACTTTACGGTTCCATTTG